GACCTCTCTGACCCCTGGGTGACTCCTGTGACCCCTGGGTGACCTCTATGATCTCTGGGTGACCTCTAGGACCTCTCTGACCCCTGGGTGACCTCTCTGACCCCTGGGTGACTCCTGTGACCCCTGGGTGACCTCTATGAGCTCCGGGTGACCCCTATGAGCTCCGGGTGACCCCTGGGTGACCTCTATCACCTTCATGACCCCTGGGTGACTCTTGTGACCCCTGGGTGACCTCTCTGACCCTTGAGTGACCTCTATGACCCCTGGGTGACCTCTGTCACCTTCATGACCCCTGGGTGACCTCTATGACCTCCAGGTGACCCCTGGGTGACCTCTATCACCTTCATGACCCCTGGGTGACTCCTGTGACCTTTGGCTGACCTCTATGACCCCTGGGTGACCCCTATGACCTCCGTGTGACCCCTGGATGACCTCTCTGTTCCCCATGACCCCTGGGTGACCTCTCTGACCCCTGTGATCCCTGGGTGACCTCTGGGTGACCCCTATGGCCCCTGGGTGACTTCTAGGACCTCTCTGACCTCTGGATGGCCTCTCTGACCCCTGTGACCTTTATCTGACCTCTGGGTGACTTCTGGGTGATCACTATGACCCCTGGGTGACCTGTCTGACCCCTGGGTGACCTCTCTGACTCCTGGGTGACCTCTCTGACCCCTGGGTGACCTCTACCACCTTCACGACCCCTGGCTGACCTCTCTGGCCCCTGTGAGCCCTGGGTGACCCCTGTGACTCCTGGGTGACCCCTGTGACCCCTGGGTGACCTCTCTGACTCCTGGGTGACCTCTCTGACCCCTGGGCGACCTCTACCACCTTCACGACCCCTGGCTGACCTCTCTGACCCCTGTGATCCCTGGGTGACCTCTGGGTGACCCCTATGGCCCCTGGGTGACCTCTAGGACATCTCTGACCCCTGTGACCTTTATGTGACGTCCGGGTGACTTCTGGGTGATCACTATGACCCCTGGGTGACCTGTCTGACCCCTGGGTGACCTCTCTGACTCCTGGGTGACCTCTCTGACCCCTGGGCGACCTCTACCACCTTCACGACCCCTGGCTGACCTCTCTGGCCCCTGTGAGCCCTGGGTGACCCCTGTGACTCCTGGGTGACCCCTCTGACCCCTGGGTGACCTCTCTGACCCCTGGGTGACCTCTCTGACTCCTGGGTGACCTCTCTGACCCCTGGATGACCTCTGTCAGCTTCACGACCCCCGGGTGACCTCTCTGACCCCTGTGATCCCTGGGTGACCTCTGGGTGACCCCTATGGCCCCTGGGTGACCTCTAGGACCTCTCTGACCCCTGTGACCTTTATGTGACCTCTGGGTGACTTCTGGGTGATCACGATGACTCCTGGGTGACCTCTCTGACCCCTGGGTGACCTCTCTGACTCCTGGGTGACCTCTCTGACCCCTGGGTGACCTCTCCCACCTTCATGACCCCCGGGTGACCCGTCTGGCTCCGGGGTGACCCCTGGGTGACCTCTCTGCCCCCTGTGACTCTGGGGTGACCTCCCTGACCTCTGGGTGACCTCTCTGACCCCTGGGTGACCTCTAGGAATCCTCTGGGTGATCTCTCTGACCCCTGGGTGACCTCTCTGTCCCCCACGACCCCCTGGGTGACCTCAATCACCTTCATGACCCCTGGCTGACTCTTGTGACCCCTGGGTGACCTCTCTGACCTCTGTGACCCCCTGGGTGACCTCCCTAACCCCTGGGTGACCTCTCTGACCCCTGTGACTCTGGGGTGACCTCTCTGACCTCTGAGTGACATCTCTGACCCCTGGGTGACCTCTGTCACCTTCATGACCCCTGGGTGACTCCTGTGACCTCTGGGTGACCTCTCTGACTCCTGGGTGACCTCTCTGTCCCCCACGACCCCTGGGTGACCTCAATCACCTTCACAACCCCTGGGTGACCTCTCTGACCCCTGGGAGCCCTGGGTGACTCCTGTGACTCCTGTGACCCCCGGGTGACCTCTGACCCCCCGCCCCGCAGACGTGCGAGGCGGCGTTCGCCACGCGGGACCGGCTGCGGGCCCACGCCGTGCGCCACGAGGACAAGGTGCCGTGCCACGTCTGCGGGAAGCTGCTCAGCGCCGCCTACGTCGGCGACCACCTGCGCGTCCACGGCACCGCCAGCAGGGGGCAGCAGCCGCCCAGAGGTGGGGGAGGGGCCAGGGAGGGGGGAGGGGCCA